ATTTCACAAAAGCCTTCATGCCCAGATCTTGAACTCTAATTCTGGATATGCTTGACTTAAATATTTTCAATTTGTCCGCTGCAGTCCTCACAGACGTTGAAGGTGCTTCTTTAAAAACCTTTTTTACTTTATCTATGTTTCGGTCAGTTGCCTTCCCGGAATCTTAAAGTCAGTCTCTCCTGATACTTCATACCGTTTAATTGTCCTGTAGATACTTGCTTCTTTTAGCCCCTTCTTGAGAAAAATTACGAACTGCCTCGGATTTCTTATTATTCAGATAGTACTGAATTACTGTTTTTGCAAACGATTCTCATTCGGTTTGCTTCATGTTAGAAAAACATGTCGATAAACGTAGTGATTACATTATCTTCGGATAGTATTAGCAAAACCACGCGAATTTAATAGAATTGTTACCGGTGGTTACCATGGCAACTGTTATTTTCTTTCTTGTAAACCTTTTTCTTGGCCGATATGAACACTCAGTTTTCTTTACTTATGGGACACCCTTTAGTTGACGTTTCCATTATCATATCTTTATCAGCCTGCTTCAATGTCCTAACCGATATAGATCCTAATCGTTGATAACAGATACGAATATGTCAAGGCCTGATGAATTATATTGTTACGTACAACCTTGAATTGTCATTTGTGCCTACTACGTAAAGGACAGTAAGTAAGTACCCAACGTAAGTATGTATTTACTTACAGTAAGTAAGTAAGTAACCTAAGTAAATAACAATATTAGTGGATTGGGAGTATTACCTCAACAGTACAATCGTGACAATCTCTAATATTTATTTACAAGTAGTTTTATTATTCACCTTTACATTACTACATGATGTTTACAATAATCTCTAGAATAACTGTGTCACATTATTTGAAACTGTTTTGATGTCTTACTACTTCGACAACATGAAATTTATAACCATTGATTTTCATTTTAATAGATTTCAGATCACTGTTTAATGGTTCGTTTAAATCTTTGCTGTTTCGAAAATTTTGCTGGCGGGATATTGACCAAATTACGCGCGAAATTGCTGTCGCGTTTAAAGTAAATTATAGTTATAGGTAACATTTTAACGCAGTCAAGTTTTCTTGTCTCATTTTATGCTTCATATGTCCTTCTTTTAAATATGTTTTGATATTCGCCGTCGATTTTAATAGAACGATATTAAAGAAATCAACAATAAATTTGTGGTTCTTCCACAATTTGTTTACATTTTTGTATATTATAACTGGATCATTTTTTTTCCCAGTGAAGCACGTGTAAACACGCAATTGTGATCACAATAATGAAAATATTGACTATAAAATATAAGGTCAACCATATCCCCATATCCCATACCCTGCTAAATCTAATAAAAGTTTTAGACAAATAATATATGTACACACATTTGACGACCTGATTGGCGTAGTGGATATTGGACCTGTCTCTCGCGTCAGAAGCTGTGGGTTCGATGCCAACTACTGAAAATTGTGTGATGAACATATTGTTTTTGAATTTTTATGGATGTTATCTATATATCTATAATATATATTTATTTACAAAAGAAAAGTATATTTAAGTATGTTTATCAGTTAGCTAGTATCAACAGCTAATACGGACTAGTTTTTGTGTAAAAATATGTCCTGAAATATTTCTATGGTTTAACTTTAACAGGACAAATTAAAGACCAGAGTGAAACCAGAAAATTTAAACATTTTCACAGTTTGTTTATTATGTTTCATTACATGTTATAGTATTATTAGTGTTTGTCTTTTGCAAGTTACATCCAGTGTAGCTTAGTAGGCTTAAACTTTTAACATGAAATAGAAAAGCCCATAAATTTTGCATCTAAGAAATTCGAACCTGCAAATCGCGGTTCGTCATCTCAACCATTTGGAGTATGAAATGGATATAAGAAGATTTACTCCTTGTTTCAATTCCGAAGTAATGAAATTATCGATCGATAAATGATTTGACGATTCGCAACGATTTTCAATATTTGCGCCCATTTAATCTTTTTATGTGCTATCTCAAAATTGGTTGGCAACGAGATTTGTATGAAATATGTATATTATTATAACATTATCAGTTTATCAAATCGCGTGCTGTGAGCTGGTAATGCCGTAATGGCGGTGAAGCTATGTTTACATTTGGAAAAGGTAGCAGGTTCGATTCTGGAGCTGTCTCGTTTATCAAACTTGTATGCGGAAATAAAACGAAAAAACCGTTAATCTCGTCCTCGGGAATTTCTTCGTGGTCACACGATGAATTCACTGTTATATAGATATATAACATCATTTAGTTATCTCAAGATTCTTAAACGTGAAGAAGATAGCAGATATCCTAAGTATGTTCATCAGGGGGAAAAGGCGTGCCGCGCCAGTCGCCAGGCGCTCTCCTTTCATTCAGTATACCGTGTTCAAATCCCGGTACCGGCAGCGACGAAACTATTAATTGCAATTTTGAGACATAAGGTCTCAAAATTGCAATTAATAGTTGATAGCCTTGCTCAGCTGGAAGAAAAAATATTCAGGAAATCTGCATACCTTCGTATTAATAATGAATTAATATATTTCGATTATGTTAAGTCTGTCAATCTGAGTTGGGTTGACGGGTGAACTGTTTCCCAATACCCTTCGTACAGAGGAGGTTTTTGCCCAGCAGTGCTATAAATAAAGACTGTTACTTTGCTTAACGTTTCAATGTGTGGGGTCTATAATAAGATACTTCTATAAAAAACAAAAGGACCGAATTAAATTTTGCTTCTAGCAAACATAGTCACTATAACGCATAATCTAAAACATTTAGCAGATCATAAAGCAAAATTTAGTTCGTAGTAAATGTTACTCGGAAACGATAAGGAAAATTGTATTCATAAACTCAAAACGAATCATAAAGATACATGAAATAGCCTTAATCTGTCGCAACACTAAAACAAGACGTTATTATGTTACGTAAAGCTAAAACTTTTTACCTCTTTTTACGAAAATTGCGCGGACGGAGGAGTAGAGGACTAAAAAAATACCCACATTTATAGTTTATATGTATTTGACACACATACGCTTATATACTCTTTTGTTAATCTTATCCTTTAAACGAGCAATTCTTATATATATATATATTGGAATCTCGGAAACGGCTCCAGCGATTTTCATGAAATTTAGTATGTGCGTATTCGGGGGCGAATAATCGATCTAGCTAGGTTTCATTTTTAGAAAATGTTCTTTTATCCCTGTTTTCAGGGAATGAAAAATATCATTCGAATATAAATGTAAATTTCGCCGCAAAAAAAAATGTTATAATAGCTCGGTCAGTAATCGGGCGGCCCCAAAATAGACGGCCGCGGTTCGTATCACGATCATCCAGTCAGATAATAGCTACCGATCGAGCCGAGGTCCGGCCCTCTCGGGCACCCTCGAATCGGAATGCAGACAGCCCAAGCCGCGGGGTCCTTCGATCATCCACGCCCGCCATTTACACACGGTGATAATAATAGCGTTTACTTAGTCACCACAACGCGTAATAATTTTTTGCGGTTCCGTCGGAGATCAACAGTGGCTCATCCAGCCCAAAAAAAAAAAAAAAAAAAGTTTCATTTACACACTTATTTTTACTTTTTTTCGGTTCGATTGCTTTCTTTATTTTTAATTTTTTGTCGATTTGTTATTTTGTTATGTTTTTCCCTTTTTTTTAAAGTTCTTACTTTTGTGAAAAACACCAGTTCATATTTTATTAACATTAGGTCGATAAGATCGAAAAATAGTAGGCATATTTCGTTACTCAGTAATTTGTATCTAAATGTAATTTTCAAAATACACGATTTACCAAAAAAAAACAATCCGAGCAAAGCTCGGTCCTCCAGGTACTTGTGTATTATATGAATAGATTAATACTCAAACTTATAATTTAAATATTATAGTCGAATTTCAACCACTCGGCGTCTACTAGTACTCGTAAAAACACGACAAATGTCGTTTTATTGGCTTCCTCGTACATTAATATAACGCACATTGTGAATTAATGCAACATACGTAACAATAATAATACCACGCAGAGGGGAAAAAAACATCTTAAATTATTCGCAAAACAGTGTGCCATATTTGATATGTTTCGAGAAAACGTATCAAGAATGTGCACATGTGGATGATAAACTCAAGCAACGATACGTTGCGTAATTTCACTCTCAAAGATGTAGATTTGGAACTCCTTTGGTGATGGTTCTTTGGCTCTCTTGTTATACACGACGGTGACAAGTCATTCTATCGTTTACCATCCACTTCATAAAAGAGATCGTAAATGACGTTAATGAAGGAAACTAACTCTAAAAACTCAAACACATGGAAACTTCATAGTTGTTGTGTGGTTTAAAAAGAAGTCAGGTGTATTTAGGTACTGAATGAATTCGTCACAGTAATAGCATATTTTCTTGTTAAAAAAAAAGAATTACTTTGTTATTCATGCTACCTAAATACGTACAAGATTTGAACAATGTAAAAATTGAGACAAAACTCTGATAAATATTCTTCAAATTATATTCATTCTTATTGTAACACTAATAATTTCTTACGATATACGTAGTTACTTATATACTTTATAAACCATAATGCTTAATACCAAAATCCTTAAAACTATGTACTACCCTTAAGTATACGATGATGCAGAACATGAGGCATAACAAGGATATAAGTAAAGGCTTTATTAAGAAAAGCAACTTGAACAATTACTGGGACTTATCATTATTCGATGAGGGAACAAATTATAATACAGTTTGGGGTTTTTTTATTTGATATAATAGTTTTTAGGTTATTACAGTTTAGGTGAAAAAGGACGCTTAAACGATTAATTACAAGAGGACAGACAATGGAAAATTTTGCAATAAAATGGTTGATTGATTGAGCGATTGGTGAAGTAAGGGTAACAGATTATATTAAGATGTGAAGACCTAGACGTCTAGAATAATCATAAAGTACCAGTCATTATAAATATAAATAAAAAAAGGAACCTTCAAACTCACCTGCCGCAGAAACGGTGAAAATTTCGATTCGTTCTTACTCATTTTGCTGCCCGCCAAAGCGTCTGTAACCTACGACATAATCATTTTTTATCCGTCGTGTATTTTTTTTAAACGTAACGTCACCGGACCGAGTTACCGGCAGCCTTCATGACCGCGCGACTTGTGGCCGTATCTCGATATTTCCACGATATCCAGACGATATAACAACGGCGTGAGGAAGATTAGATTAATCGCTATTTGTTCGCACCTAATCAATGCAATGATTGCTGTGACGCAAGCTACTTTGAAGGAATTATTCTAACTTATACGTACGTGCCAAATATATATCTTTACATAACTGCGGTCATATAAATCTAATTTTTAATATGTTCAGGTTAAAAGAAAAAATATACGCATCCCAAAATTTTATCTGACCAATCAATTAATGGACAATGCGTTACTTGTTCATAGAATAAAATTGTCACCAAATGAACCGTTTTACCAACCTTTCTCTGTTTAAATTTGGACAATTCATTTACAGACTATACATTTCGACGAGTAAACACAGCATATCCATTATCTATCGATTTATTTTTTACATTAGAAAAAAAACATCAATGAAAGTGCGTGCAGCCATTTTTTGATCTTTGCAACATCCAGTCCCGTCCTGCCGTTTTGCAAAATGTCATTACACGAAACTCGTAGCAAGCACAGACTATATTAATCGAGTTTAAAAAAAACAACGCCCCACGAAGAACTCAAACTCGAAACACATAAGTATATAATTATAGCGTCAGGTCGAATTGCAGTTTATCGGAAATCGATAAACGTCGACTGTATCTAAACGAGCTACTGTTTTTTTTTTCAATGACAAATCCTAATGCGACAACAGTTGTCGATCTTATCATATCAACGCTTGAGAAACGTAGTAGTAAGAGTTATTTACGACGGTTTTTATTGCCGTGGCGAAGTGCTCACGCAGCTTTTGCACAGCCCAACGGTTCGACTGGAATGGAGAAAAGGAGAATTAATACCAAAGCCTCGCAGTGAGATTTAAACTTTCACGCATCGTTGTAATACTTACGCACGGTTTCTGAAACACGTATCTGATCATACAAAGTAACAAATCTGCTGTCAAATGGCCTTTCAAATGTTTTTCAATCGATAAAATTGCTATTAAGTATCCTACGCGACATTAAATCCTGGTGAATTGTTATTTTACTAGTCCGTGATTAAACGTAAGATGATTGTGCAACTAACCCTCACCCTAATCTGTTAGTTTGTGGATGCCGCCACCTATAGGACAAAACCGCTCAAGAACTGTGCAGACCGCGATGAGACGACCATCGCCATCGCGATTAAAGGACCGAGATCCTCTCCCGGGGGCCCTTGTGCATGGTTCGTCCATCTAAACGACCTAGAGCTTGGCGGCCTCCCAATCCGGCAATAATGTTCAAATTCAAAATACTATGTTTATTCGAATAGAAATCATATGCTTATATAAATCAAATCAAATAAACATATATTTATTCTCATAGACACTTGCGCGTTCTTATAAAGCGATCGAATCGAATTTAACATAAGAATTTTACATAAGTTCGTAAGTAACTTACTACTGATTCGGAAAGCAGTTTCTGTTGAGAAGAGACCGGCAAGAAACTCAATAAAATGTTTCGAAATTATATTTTCATATCGGACATAGTTCTACAGATTTCAAGTTTACTATTTATTGCATTTCTGTGCTAAGAATCAAGCCACCAATTTAAAAAATTTAATAAAATCGATTTATACTTATTATGCATACACAAGTATGGCGATAACGTCGAATGGAAAAGTAAATAAGGCTGGCTCGATAATTTCTTTATTCTATAGATATATAAATATAAAAACTAATTATTGATAAATAATTAGTTTATTCTGTTGTGGGGATGTCGAGGGTGAGGAAATATATTATATATAGTGATATAATATGCTTTAACCATTAATTTACTTTGAATTTTGCGTTTAAATTCATCAAGCGGCAGACTTAATATCGACTGTAGTATTTTATCATACAGATAATCACTTTGCCCCATGAACGACCTGTTTAGTTCTTGTAGACGAAACAATGGCAAAGTTGGTTTGTCCTTATTTTTATTGTTTAAATTAAGTCTGTCACTATTCTTGAGGTAAGATTAATTCTTATTGGTTATGTCAATTGTACAAAGTCTATACTATAATAAAAGAGTAGAATCGGCGTGTCTGTACATTGAATATATTTATGAAAAAATTAAAAAGGGTATCATAAAAAGTGTTATAGGAAACATAAAAACCATTTTTGGAATGTCTGTCTGTCTGTCTGTTAGCGATAAACTTGAAAACTACTTAACGGATTTTGATACAGTTTTCACTGGTTTCTTAAGCAAAGCTTGGGGCAGTACAGGCTTTGTTTCATCTCAATCAGTTCACTCAAACGGGAGATATGGGAATTTTAAAATTAAAGCAGTGCAGTCGCAAACAGTTATCACAGTTATCCTACTACTGGACTAATTTGTATGGTGTTTTGTAAGTATTTAAGATTAATTCTGTGCAACATTAAAGCTTTGTTTTATTACAATTGCAAAAACTAGATGGCGTTGTTCTTCAAAAAATGCGCTGTATACATATTTTCACAAGTTTTTTAAGGGACAAGTGCCGACCTTTTGCATTTTAATAATAATAATGCGAATTTCTTCAATTGAGATTTATACGATAGGTACGATTTTAGTTTTGCTTGGCACAGAGATATTCTTGATTTTGGTTTGCGATTTTGTTAGTTGTTACAAACAGTAGTGGATTTCTCTATAGGCCGCGTACTCGGCGGGTCAAATGTAGGGGCCTGCTGCAAATTAGTGGGGCCTTTTAGTAGCATTGCTTGCCTTTCGCCTTTCGCTTCTTTGCGTAGGCGATATTCCATAAAAATTATAACAAATCAAGCGGGTCTGATAAGTAGGTACCATTCGTCGGCTCCGTAATATCATTTACTTACTTTCTTTGTTTAATTTTTTGTGCCTTCCAGAGAGTCTTTTCTCTTAATCTTTAATGAGCCTAGGGCGACCAACGGACAAATCTGTCACTGTTTAGGAATATAGATTTGGTTAGGCTAGGATATTCGGATATTATTTTGCTTTATCGTTTGGAAATTATATTTGTTTTTTATCACTTACTCACAAATTGTATCTGATATTTTTTTTGTAATTAAGATACTTATTTTGTAGTATTTTCTAAATCATTGAACTTTCCTTTTAGTATTTATTAAAAAAAATGCCTCGATAGAATTTAAAAGAATGAGAAGGATTTGATCTCAACAATGTAATGAAAACCAAACACGACTTAGTGCTGATACCCATTTCGCCATAGACACCATTCATTAGCTCGCACATTGGAGTCAGTTATTGTTTAATTCGCGAATACCACTCGCTAGATCACTGACCATTGCGCAGTTGTCAAGGCATTGCCTAAGGCGTGGGTTCGATTCTCACACTGGACAATTATTTGTGTGAGCCATAGTAATTGTTTTCCAGAAGGCAAAACTATAATTGTGGTATATATTTTATATCGTGCTTAGATAGATTTTAGAGTAGCCTTCCTCAATAAATTGGTTATCTTACAGTGCAAGAATTTTTCTAATCGAACCAGTAGTAGCTGAGATTAGCGAGTTCAAACAAAAAGAGATGCTAGCTAGACTGCTAGCATCTGTTTGATATATGTATCTCATAAACTGTGATATTTAGACAGTTAAATTTTTCACAGATGATGTATTTCTGTTGACGCTATAACAACAAATAAAGGAAATCAAAATATTTTTTTTTTAAGTGGGGCTCTCATACAACGGACATAATTTTATTGCCTTTTTTATAGATTATGGTATGGAACTCTTCGTTCACGATTGCGACTCGCATTTGGCTGGTTTATAAATTTATATAATCTAACAATCGTCATCATTTTACAGACCATTATATAATTGTAGTTAACTATACTTTTATCCAATTCAGCTGTAGCGATAACTTTTTTTAAATTGATGTAATTTTTTTTATTTATGAACCGATTTGAATAAAACTAACACTAAATGTTAAGTAAAGTACTACAATGCATAAGTGAAAGTTGCACCCAAATCGGTTAAGCCGTTTCTGAGATTACGAGATTACAAAAGCACATAATTACGGACACAAATTTTAACAACCATTGTTTTGGGTTCTATTGTGTTGATAAAGGGGGATCTTTAATAATAGTTTTTCTCAAATATCTTCCATGTACAGACAAAGACTAGTTACGTTTTTATTATATGTATAGATATCTGTCTGTATCTGTCTGAATTTTTCGCTTTCATCCTATTCCACGCGGACGTAGTCGCGGGCAACAGCTCGTATTACAATAAATGTATTGAGACGCAAGAGCACGTAACAGTGAGTATATTAACCTCTTTAAAAAGATCTTCGAGTGTATTCCGCTCTGATGTTATACATTGCTCGGACAGCTCGTTTTTGAAAACTTAAAATAGAATTTATATCAGATGCGCTACCCCACAACAAAATTCCGTAAGACAAGAGATGGCCCGAATCAAAGCTCCCGAGGAAGCCCTCGTGTTAAGTCACTCATGAATAAGATTTCGAGATTAGTCACTCATGAGAGATACGCGACGCCCACAGCACCCTGCCACCTCTACTTCTAGCCGGTGAAACTATACGAGTATACGCTTGGACTCTTGTTATGTCAATAGTAACTTAGCCGTCACCACACCACAAAGCAGATACAAATACTACAGATTATTCCGCATAACTATTAGCCTCCAATTCTCCATTTTTATAAGCAACACTGTCAACTATATATTATAAGTTCGTTACCGATGTAGAAAAATGAAGTACGAAGAAGCAAAACTTGAGCATTAGAGAAAAAAAATCTTATTTTTTTTATACCACTCTACTATTTTTTAAAAGTGATACAGATACTGTATATCCGCGTAAAACCTATAACTACAAACTATTTTTAAATCACCTATAACGGTGCCATCTACTGACATTTCTACGTATTATCTATAATATGCTACTTACTTACATGATATACATGTTATGATGGATGACCAATAGAGGGCGGTGGAGTCTAGAAGGAAACATTTTTGTTCTTTCATGTTTCAGGCTTTTAATTCATTTTAGTTACAGTGACATTTTTCCATTAGTACAAATTTTGTACGGTACGAAGTACTTCATACAAAGTTTATTGATAAAATTGTAAATTATTCCCATCCCATCCGTATTAATTACATAAACAATTATTGGTCCAATATTTTTTAACATTAAATCTTTTTTTCTTTAATGTGAAAAGTTGCCAAACGAGCAGACGGTTCACCTGATGTTAAGTGAATACAGCCACCCATGAACATCTGCTACACCCCAGGGTTTGCAGATGCGTTGACAACCTTTTTGGAAATTGGGCTCCGGCTACCTCACTCACCAGACGAAACGCGAAAGTATTTCTCATACTTCCACTTTACGCCGGTCTTCTGTGAGGTCGTGGTACTTACCCGGACGGGCCTGCCCATTAGTGCAACAGCCGAGGCTGCTGCGTGTAACCCTCTTGTCACTAGCCAGTGTTAAGCCTAGGACGTAAACCTTTCAAAAATGTCTGTACGGGGACCCCACGGACCCAAAGTTTCAACAGCAAATGGCACAAATATATAATCTAAACATCACCGACCGAAGTACCCCTAAAGGCCCATTTAGATGGTGCCAGTTTCTTGCCTGTTGTATACAATTAAATTGAAGCAATAAATGAGTTGCATGGTCTAAACAACAAATGGTCTAAACAATTATTGCGCGCAATTTATTGCATTCAATTATTGCTCTTGTATGTACAAGAAAATGGCATCGTGTAAATGGGCCTTTAGACGAGAGACGGCCAAAGTTGTACTAATGTTAACTAAAACCTTACGAACTTTTACCAACATTGAATCTAAATTATCAAAGCTTAATGCCAGATTTTCCTTAGCATAAGAGAGGCCTAAACTTGTATCATGGAATATAGTCAAATATTCACATTCGTCAGTTTTTTTTTACAGGTAGGTACTTCAATTTTTGTTTCTACAAAACATTGCCCTTACTTTGAATAACATTACATTATCCTATGTTGTAAGTACGTTTAACAAACATAAATTACGTGGACAAACACCCAGATGCGAAACAATTATCTGTTGGTCACACAAATAGTTGTTCCATGTGGAAATCGAACCCACGACCCCCGACGCAGAAGGCATTACCTTGGCAACTACGCCACGGGAGTCATCCGCCTGGGTCTTTTTGATTTAATCTCAGTATTTGATATAACTTGACAAGCATTAAAAGTCTGTACAGTAAAAGACTTAAAGTCAAGCCCAAAATAATTTAAAACAAAGACAATTTTAACGATACAAAAATTTATTCAACAGAAGATGATCTTCTACTACTACTACTTATTCTACAAAAATAAATTAAATCAGTCTTGAAATAAAATTAATATCACAAAACGATACACAGCCTTTTCAGCTTTAAATGAACAACATAATGAACAGGTACAGTACAATATTTACAAATTAAAATATATCTTTACAGCAAAAAAGGTTAATCCACTTCTTCCACGTTGGCCCTTCGTACATACCACCAGGCATGCCACCAGGCATACCACCGGACATACCACCAGGCATTCCACCCGGCATACCACCAGGCATACCGCCCTGTGCTGCTCCATGCATCTTGCTCATGAGTGGCGAGCAGACCCGTTGCAACTCCTTAAGCCGGTGCTCGTACTCTTCGCGTTCAGCCAGCGTGTTGTTGTCGAGCCATCGAAGGGCGTCTTCGCAATGTTGGCGAGCAGTGTTCTTGTCACTCTCGCTTAGCTTGTCGCCTGCCTCGTCCACCGCTTGTTTTACGCCAAAAACGTAAGTCTCGAGCTGATTGCGGGCGGTGACACGCTGCCGCTGCCTCTCGTCCTCCTCTTTATATCGCTCTGCCTCAGCGAGCATGCGATCGATCTCAGCCTGCGACAGCCGGCCCCGGTCGTTCTTGATCACGATGTTCTTGCTGCGGCCCGTGCTGTTCTCTTTGGCGGACACGTTCAGGATGCCGTTGGCGTCCATGTCGAATGTCACGTCGATCTTGGGCACGCCGCGCGGCGCCGGTGGAATGCCCGTCAGGTCAAACGTGCCCAGAAGGTTGTTGTCCTTGGTCATATTGCGCGCGCTCGCCCTCGTACACCTGAATAGTGACCGCTGGTTGGTTGTCAGAGTAAGTGGTGAATGTCTGCGACTGCTTGCACGGGATCTTGGAGTTGCGTTCGATGATCTTGGTCATGACTCCGCCAGCCGTCTCGATGCCGAGAGACAGCGGCGCCACGTCCACCAACAGTACGTCTTGGATCTTGGAGTCAGATTCTCCGCTTAGGATGGCAGCTTGCACGGCGGCGCCGTACGCCACCGCCTCGTCGGGGTTGATAGACAGGTTCAGCTTCTTGCCGCAGAAGAAGTTCTGCAGCAGGCTCTGCACCTTGGGGATGCGCGTGGAGCCGCCCACCAGCACCACGTCGTGGATCTGGCTCTTGTCCATCTTGGCGTCCTTGAGCGCCTTCTCCACTGGCTCCAGGGTGCCGCGGAACAGGTCCGAGTTGAGCTCCTCGAAGCGGGCGCGGGAGACGCGCGTGTAGAAGTCGATGCCCTCGTAGAGAGCGTCGATCTCCAGGGTGGCCTCGGTGCTGGAGGAGAGCGTGCGCTTGGCGCGCTCGGCGGCGGTGCGGAGGCGTCGCAAGGCGCGCGGGTTCGAGCGCAGGTCCTTCTTGTACTTGCGCTGGAACTCGTCCGCGAGGTGGTTCACCAGTCGGTTGTCGAAGTCCTCGCCTCCCAGGTGCGTGTCGCCGGCAGTCGCTTTCACCTCGAACAGGGAGCCCTCGTCGATGGTCAGGATCGACACGTCGAAGGTGCCGCCGCCGAGGTCGAAGATCAGCACGTTGCGCTCGCCCTTGAGGTTCTTGTCCAGACCATACGCCAGCGCGGCCGCCGTGGGCTCGTTGATGATGCGAAGCACGTTCAGCCCTGCGATGGCACCTGCGTCCTTCGTGGCCTGCCTCTGAGAGTCGTTGAAGTACGCTGGCACGGTGATCACGGCGTCACGCACTGTGTTTCCCAGATATGCCTCCGCAGTCTCCTTCATCTTCGTCAGCACCATGCTGCTGATCTCCTCGGGAGCAAACCTCTTCTGTTCGCCCTTAAACTCGACCTGAATCTTGGGCTTGCCGCAGTCGTTAACCACTTTGAAGGGCCAGTGCTTCATGTCCGCTTGGATCTTGGGATCGTCGAACTTGCGTCCGATAAGCCTCTTCGCGTCGAAGACCGTGTTGCTGGGGTTGAGGGCCACCTGGTTCTTGGCTGCATCTCCGATCAGCCTCTCGGTGTCCGTGAATGCCACATACGAAGGCGTCGTCCTGTTGCCCTGGTCGTTGGCGATGATCTCCACGTTGCCGTGCTGCCACACGCCGACGCACGAGTATGTTGTTCCTAAGTCGATACCAATTGCTGGCATTTTCTTTTCTTTTTATTAACAATTCACTTCTTATACACAAAACTGTTTCTCGCTTTCAAAATAACTTCGGTAAACACCGAACCGTACTTCGTGAACACTTCGTATTGCGTTTGAATTAAGAATGAGTTGCTGCATCGAGCGCTGAGTTTTTATATTAAACCAACCAAATTCTAGAATCGTCAAGCTCTTTCTAGACACGGCCAATAGGAAAGCACCATCCCGAGAACATTCTGGATAAAGCGACGGTAACCAATAGAAATGCTCCGTTGGAAAGAGATAGCATTATCAACACGACAATTGGGGTCCTAGGGTTACCCTATGCAAGTTTCAACTGAATTTTGGGAAAGCTGCCCTGTTAAACGAACTCAATGTTCAACATTATAATATTTGGTCTTAATCTCACCGTTATCATAATAATATTCTAATTAATGAATTTTCGTTATAATTATATTTTAAGAATGCTTCATAATTATAATTTATAACAAACCATCTTCACATCCACAATTAAATTATTCAGCAATTACTTGATATGTTCATCAATAGTAGTGCAGCAATATCAATACAGTAGTGATAAAATTTATGGAAATGTAAAGAAAATTATTTTTGCTTTTAAAACTTGCATGATAATTACAACATTTTTGGTTACTCAAATTACAACAGAAAACAAATAATGTTTTTTTCATATCGGCCAAAAATTTTGTGTGTGGTAAAATTTAAAAGCGGGCAACATTGGTTTCGTGGAATATTCTAGAACATTCACGTCTCGAGTCGAGAAGTCGAGCAAAGAGAATGTAATCACTACGTTTAAAGTCGAGAATCTCGAATGCAATCCGTTTCAAAGTCTTTCTTTCGTCTTTTCTCATGTTATTGCACTGTAAACATACGTTAAATTATTATTAACCCATGTTATATAAAAACACTATGAAAACACAGAGATAATTAATGCAGCCGATAAAATGAATCACGTGAAATTTCGACATTGGAAATTTGCCTCTTAGTAATGTAATGCCTAAGGATGAGATTAACTGTGAAAGCCTTTTATCAATTGAAGACATGAGTGGATGAAGGGGATATAATACAATTTGTAAATGTTGAGAAAACGGGCATCAAAGTTTTGTTGCTTGTTTTTGAGATAAATCGTTTTTCTTTTTGATTATTTACTAACTATTTATGTCAAATTATAGTAATTATTGACACCTACTAATATGGAGTGGAAAAATAAGATTAAAGTGTAAGAATATGCATTTATTGAAAAAAAATGTACATAACTCTTTCATTCATTTCTTGATAATAAAGAAGTTTCATACCTAATTTACGGATGAATGAATTAACTACATAATTAACGTAATAAAACCAAAAAAAAAATTACACGTGTGTCGGGTTAATCTGGACCTACAAAGTGTTCATAATTCCGGTTTCAAAAATTTTATCTGTTCTTTAATATTAGCTTTTCTTTTCTTCAGAAATTGTACCATATTTTCTTTGTACCCGTTCAACTAAAAAGTCTTCTACTTGTCTTTTTTTTTAATATATCCACTTTTCTAAAAGGCATGTTTTCATCATAACTTTCTTTGTATAAGTAGGCACCGAATTCTTCTACCCCTATCCACTGAATACCGTCCCTGAAATTAACCCTTTGCTTGTTTTCGTCTTTTTTTTCTGTTTATCAAATTGAGTTGATTTTGCAACTAGTTCATTTTACGATAATGATCCGTCATATCGATACTAACATAGTTTCTAGATACTTTGCATATAATCTCTCGATATTGTTCAGGCGTATACAGCGTGTCGTTACCATCGCGACAATAAATGAACACACGTCTAACGCTACTTGCCAATAATCATAAAAAAATATTAACGTTAAACAAACAAACTAATTAAGTAAAAAAGAAACAAAATTTGTAACATCCTATACAACTCGCGCCATAGCGTCGCATTACAAGCCTCTCCTTCTAACAGTATGTTTTGTCTCTTTCAAATTCATTCAACCCATTCATATGCTTTGTGACCTTTACAAATGAACTTTACGTTACGCTTTTATAGGTAAGGGTGTTCTAAAATTCTTTGTTTTGGAAAATTGAATAACTGTAAATATTGATGTTTTAAGAATTTAAATGTATAATACAACTTTAAAAAGTTATCCCCTATGTGAGTGTTCATTTATTGTCGCGATGGTAACGACACGCTGTATATTGCCTCATGCTTGCGCATGATCTATTCGATGCGACCAAAATCTCTATCAGAGTCCAGATAAGAATGACCGACATTGGGAAATTTGTGGTCAATGATTTTTAAATAACCCTTCATGATCATGTCTTGGTAGATAATTTTTTTATTCTGTCCAGCACAGGAGTCCGACCATATAAATAAATGTTTTTTTTTTTTGCGACAATATGAATCCACTTCAACAAATCTTAGTAAGGAGCTAGCATCTTCAACAATACTTCTGTCGGCTACATCTTCTGTACACAGCTTTTTGTTTGGTCTGGTCACTAACATGGATGCCCAGATAATAATAAAATTCCGTATAATATTAACAAAAAAACCGGCTTCAAACCGGAAACTAAAAAACATTATTAATACTAATAACATTTGAGGATTGCCCTCGATTTCTCTGAGATTCCATCATCAGATCTAGGTTACCTTACCATGGTACCATTCTTGGGATATCTCCTTTCCAACAAAAAAAGAATCATCAAAATCGGTTCATAAACGATGAAGTTATCCGCGAATACACATAAAAAATATATATACGGTCGAATTGAGAAACGTCCTCCTTTTTGAAGTCGGTTAATAAAACCAAATCTGGCGTAAATAGAATGACTTAGAAGTCGGTATTTTAGGAAGTGGCATGGTGTGTAAGTCTACTGTGAGGTATAATAATCCATTGTCTTTTTTGGGTCAATCTGTTATGATGATGACGGTAATGGCTTCAATCGCAACGTGGTAATTCAAATGAAAATCATGTACCTATCAGCTTTTCATTTGAATTTCTACCATCATAAGTTGCACAGTTGTTTTGCCATTTATGAATTATTTCTAGATTATGAAAATAGTTGTTTGTTGTGTGTGCGTATGTGGATATGAGTGGAAGAGGCATGGAGCGCTGTGAACGATGACGGAATGTGAAAATAACAACACAAGTAATACTTTTAGTAATAATAGTTAGTAATATTTTAGTAATATTTGTATTTTTGACTAAATGTATCTTTTAAAGCCACACCATAAAAAATAACCGAAAAAAATGTAACCAAAAAATGAAAAAAAATTTTTAGGGTGAGCCACACTGTAACGTAGGTTTCGAGTAGATTAGAATGATAATTAGGTCAACAATCCATAACAAAACTATTTAATAAAAAAATAAACTATAACTGTATAACTAAAACTAACAATTATTTAAACAAGGGGAAAAAACTCAATACAAACAAAAATATACAAAAATAGATGGGTCGTGTGTTCACCTAGCCACCGAGTATGCACCAAAGTCCTCTGAAGACACTTTCCTATAGCTCCCGTAGCGATAAGTCCATACACTAGCTCAGCAGCAACGGCAGCAGGCAAGCCGAGTAGGGTGTTTGGGGTCCGCAGGCAAAAGGCAGGCGATCCTCCAGCCAACAACTTTGCGTCGGCAACGCGGCATAAGCTACAGAAACTGTGTAGCAAGGAAGGTGCAGGGACCCTGGAACGCAGCCGCACTTTGACTTTAACAGCCGTCGGAAAATGTATTACGACTAGAGCCGACAGCATTATTTGCAACCCTTCCACGCAACAGAAATCACATACACAATATAAAAATTTGAGGACTAAAATATTATAATATTGCGAACTAATTTTAACGAAAATAAAAGATAGTCGATTTCGTGAATAGCATTAAGATACAAACATTATTTACGCTACTACAAATTATAAAGTAAAGTTAAGTAAAGTTACAGCCTATACATGTCCCACTGCTGGGCAAAGGCCTCCTCTATACAGAGGGCATCAGGGCATAGTCCACCACGCGGCCCCACTGCGGATTGGCGGACATCACATATTTTCGAAATATATTTTTTTTTGTTATTTTATACGAAAAATTAGCAAGTGAGCAGACGTTTCACCTGATGTTTAGTAATTACCGTCGCTCATGGACATGGAACTCCTAAGCGGTTCCAGACGCGATGTATGCCTTTAAAGATAGGCCCCAGTTACCTTATTGACCAGACGAAACGCAAAGTATAACACTCACTTCACGCCCGTCCTCTGTAAAGCAGTGGTACTCCCCCAGACACCATACGCACAAAGGCAGACACACAAATTCCAAAGAAAAAATACACAAGCGATTTTTTTTATTAAGGAAAAACAAAACTTCAATATCTCGCTTTGTCTGCGTATTAATTTAATAATTGATTTTCAGGAGTTCCCTTCGTATCTCCGGAGTTAAAGATCCAATACCAATGAAATTAATATGAGACCACGTGGGAAGCACCAGCTTTCAAATAAAAGAAATGTCATCAAAATCGGTTCGCTCAGTGAAAAGTTCTGAGGTAAAGTAAAGTAACAGCCTTTACATGTCCCACTGCTGGGCAAAGGCCTCCTCTATACAGAGGGTATCAGGGCATAGTCCACCACGCGGCCCCACTGCGGATTGGCGGACTTCACATATTTTCGAAATATATATTTTTTTTGTTATTATTTCGAAAATATGCAGGTTCCTCACGATGTTTTCCTTCACCGCGGAGCACGTGATAAGTCAGCACTTAAAGTTAAAAACTTCATTGGTGCCGGCACCGGGGATCGAACTCAGGTTGCTCGAGTATATTGAATTAAAGGCGAGCGCCCGGACACTGAGCTATCACGGCTCGATACTAATATAGTTAAAACACACAAATTATAGTTAAATAACATCTCTAACGTATCACTATTTAAACTTATAACCGCGTAGTTCTGCTACCACGGAAACTATCCTTAACTATTTATTTTTCATTAAAAATTGCATACAACACTTACCCAATTGCTGAGGT